TCTAAACCTGGCCAGTGCTCACAAAGTGAGTCTCTAGATTTGCCTGGCATCAGGCAGAGACATATGGTCCAGTGGCTCAGATTCATTTTGGTTTGTATCACTACCAGCTTTGGGTTGGCTTGGTGTATTACTTCAGATCTTTTTGGGCATCAGTGACTGTGGGACCCAGGTGTGAACAGGATGGAACCATGCTCAGTGGCCATAGGGCTGCCTTTATCACCCTCTTCCAACTTTGGGCAGCCATCATGGTTCACAGAATTGTCTTCAGTTGCAGGGTTGGACTGGTGAAACCCAACACTGATCAGATTCTGATTATTTCTATTGCTAGATAAATACCTATAGATACTCTCCAAATTTTTCCCACTATCATATCAAGACATGGGCCCTGGTGGGAAAGACTTGTTTGATATGAATCACCAACCTTTCATATGCACTCGCAGGGTTACAAAGAGCCTGGTGACTATGGAGCCAAGTGTGATCCACCTAGTATTTATCTGTGTAGCTGGGGCCTGCCTCTGTGCATCCTTCCTATAATCTTGTGGGAACAGCAAAGAATCACAGGCTTGTTTTTGGAACTCAGTGCTAAGGTGGTAAAACCCAGAATTCAGCAGTAGACCCTGTCCCCAGGATAGTGCCAATAGACAGAGTCTCTGTAGGTGTTTCAGTGCCAAGTGGAGTTCCATAGTCCTCGTAGAGAGTCCTATAACTAATGGTTTGCATTTGTGGAATCATCACAAATACACCTCAGTGTCACATACACCATAGCAGAATGAGCTTTTTCCTAACTCATACGCTACACTGATCTTGGTGAGCTGTGCCATCCAGATATGATTTAGCATTATGGCCTTGGTGAACAACAAACAAGGAATCTTAAGCTCATCACTATCACTACTTATTGCCCAGAAAGAAGCTTGTAGAACAGACTGCACTTTTTTTAGGCACTTCTTCAGTTTATACAGAACAACGCTTAAACTGCAGACTTGGCAAATATTGAATTTGCTGAGTACTGAGTGACCTAATCTGTAAAAAACATTCAGTGGACCTAGGGCAAATATCTACTTAGGGCGCCATCTAGTGCTGAAATAGCAGAGATATCCATAGTCTCAGAAAACAAGACTAGAATTTCAAGAAGGATGGTGTAAAAAAGTTTGACTCTCCAGATGTTTAAATTAATGTTTTAATGTTAATAATCAATGGATTAAATGTGGAAAATTTAGTTAACTTTGGCATCTGAGATTTAGGATATGGTGGGAGGTCCTTTGTTCATTAGGCCATGCCAGTGTAGAAGGTGGTTCTCAGGAGAGTTGATTATTTGAGTTCAAGTTCTACCTATCTGTTCCTTCTGCTTTCTGGCTCACCATGTGATTATTCCTCTGCATCTGCCATGATATGATTTCACCTGTCAGCAGACTATGAGGATAATGGATCCTGAACTATAGCCTCCAAATTTAAACTAAAAAACAGTTTCTTTTCCATGAAGCTCTTCTCAGGTATTTTAGTTGAAGTAACCAAAAGCAGAGTAATACACCACCCACAAATGAACCGGATTCCCAGTGGAACTGATACATCAATGAATGTCAAGAACTTCAAGGGGACTATGACTTCACCTAAAGAACAAACTAAGGTGCCAGAAAACAACTATCCAGGAACTGAAAGTCAATAAGATTCACACAGATTTCACAGAGATGCAGAAATCATTAAGCAAAAACAAGTAAAAATCCCTCAACTGAAAAATACACTAAAGTAAATTAAAAATAAGAAAGCATGAATGACAGAATATATTGAAAGGAAGAAAGAATTAGTGTACTCAAAGATTATTTGTAAATACACAACTGGAAGAGATACAAGAATCAAGAGGCATGAAAAAAGCTCACAATAACTACAAGTTAGCATGAGAAGAGCAAATATCTGAGTTACTGGGATTCAAGACGGACTTGAAAATGCCAAAAGGGTAGAAATTATATTCAAACAGATAATTATAGAAAGCCTCCCAAACCAAGAGAACAATATAACTATCTTGGTAAAGAAGGTCAAATATCATCAGTCAAATTCAATCCAATCAAGTCTATCCTGAGACATATTATGATCAAGATTTCCATGCTTAAAGATAAAGAGGATTCTCAAAAGTGTAGAGAATAAAAGCAAATAACACATAATGACACATAAAGTGGTCTCAGTCCACCTGATTGCAGACTTCTCTGCAGAAATCTTATAAAGGCCAGCAGGGAGTAGGAGGAGACTTTCACAGTACTTTAGTAAAAAAAAAATGCCAGTCAGGAATATTGTATGCAGCAAAGCTATCTTTTATATATTAGGGGGATATAAGATCTTTTCAGACAAACAAAAATTGAGACATTTTGTCACCATCAGCTGTGTATTACAATAAATTCTAATGAATAACAAGAAAATATCAGAAGATAGAAAATTCACAGGATGGAGTAACTGTGTGAACAAATTCAGAATACTGCAACATTGTAAATATGATGTGTAAAGAATTTATATCTTTAGAGTGAAGATTAAAAAGTGAAATTATTACATACAAGTATTAAGAAACAAGCAATATGGAAACAGGTAAAAATGTAACATCAAAAATTCCAAATGTAGAGAAGACTGGAGTCCATATATATAGTTCTTTATTAGGATTTACTACTGGTTCATTTTTTGGTCTCATTCTTTATATTTATAACCAATATAAAATTGCTGACATTTTGGGGCTGAGATTGTGGCATAGTGAGTGAAGTCTCTGCCTGCGATGCCGGCATATGATTTGGGTGCCGATTCATTTCCTGGATGCTCCACTTCCGATCCAGCTCCCTGTTAATATCCTGGGGAAAAGCAGTCAGGGACAGCCCAAGTGTTTGTGCCCCTGACACCCAAGAGTAGAAAGCTCAAATATTTGGGTCCCTTCAATCCACGAGGGAGACCTGAATGAATCTCCAGTCTTCTGGCTTTGTCCTGGCCCAGTGTTGGCCATTGTGTCCATCTGGGAAATGAAACAATGAATGGAAAATCTTTCTCTGTCTCTCCGTCTATGTAACTCTGCCTTTCAAATAAATAAATAAATAAATCTTTAAAAATTGTTAGCATTTCAAGATAGCTTTTTATAGCCCAAAGAAATATTTGTCAGCCTTTTGGCAAATAAAAATTACCAAAAATGACATGTAAGGTGTCAAAGTACAGCACTAAAGAAAATTACTTACCCACAAATGAAAATTTTAAGAGAGGAGAGAAGGAAAATTTACAACAAAATTACAAAACAAATATGAAAATGGCAATTGTAAAACTTACCTGGCAATATTTATCTTAAATATTAATGGAGTAAATTCTCCAATTAGGAAACATAGAATGATCAAAGAGATAAAAAACACGGTCCAACTATATACTGCTCATATCAAACTCATTTCATCTCTAACAACACACAGGCAACAAAAATGAAAGGCTGGAACTAGATATCCCGTGCAAATCAAAACCCCAAAAACAAGAGTAGTTCTACTTTAAAAAAGATTTTAAATGAACCACAATGAAAAGAAACCAGGAAGGTCATTATATCATTATATAATGATAAAGTGCTCAGTCCTCTAGGAGCACATAACACCTTTAAACATACACCCAATATTAGAAATCTAGATATATAAAGCAAATCTTGAGACAGAGAGAGAAACTCTCCAATACACTAGTAGTGGAGGATTTTAGCACCCTGCTTTCAGAAATGGACAAATCATGAGACCTGCCTTGTGGTAACAGCTGGTTAGGCTGCTGCCTACAATGTCAGCATCCCATGTGGGTGCTGGTTAGAATCCAGTAGCATTTTATTCTTCTGGATAAAATACTCTTCAAATACAAAGTGGCACATTTAAAAAATTCTGACAGCCCAATCAACCCATTCTCCACAAGTATTGTTTATCTTTGAATGGAAAATGAATCAATGAACTTTCAGGTCGAATATTCTTGCACATGTATTGTATAGTAAATATGAGACAGACCATAGAACAGCACTTATTGAACACTATGTTAGTGTGATTAGGCTGAAGGTTATGGTTCTGCTGGGTAGGTTTGGCACAAACTCCCTGAAAGAAGAAAGGACTTATTGGTATAAAGACCTTATATGCTCCTGCTTAATTTGCCTGACTTATGCCTGTTAAAATGCTCTTGTAGAGAATCTACAATTTATCTGACTTCTTTTGCAATCGCTACTTTCTTTATGCACCTAGTCAGAGAGAGCCATATGGAGTAGTGCCAGAAGTCCAACTTTTTCTGAATCTCCTCATCTTTCATGGGCCCCATTCCCCGCATCTCTTTCTTTGTATTCTCATCCACTCTGTCAATATTTCTTCTTGGAATCCCTCCTTGAGTGTCCCTTCTCCCTTCAGTTTCTCCCACCCAGGCTAGTCCCTCCATTTTGCGTATCTTTTAGCTTCTTTCTGGTTCCCTTACACCTTAATCTTACTCTCCATTACTGTGGATCTCTTCTAAGACTCATTTTGTCCTTTTCTACTAAATTTATTCTGTATGTTGTTCTCTATGTCCAGATCTTGCATTCCCAGTTGGATATTCCCCCTCATAGTGACCCCCCTCCCCTAACAGGGAGTTTCTTCCCTCTTGGGCCCTCTTCATCTCTTTTTAGGCAATCATCTCCTCCTTTCCTTTCACCTACACCATCTTTAGTTACTTCTCAATCCCCAACCAAAGCAGCTAAGACCCATTTCCTTTCAGATGACTAATTATGCTAGTTAAACTTTACTCACAGACTGAATGGACAACTGTTCCTATCTTTCACACACCATCCACTAAACACGTCCAACCTTTTTAGCAAGACAAAGTGCTTACACATCACATGTCATGTTCACGTGAATTTTTATGTCTCAGAACAAAACAACAGTTATGGTGGCTAAGAAGATGAGTTACCAGGGATCCTTAAACTTTGAATACATGGACAAGTTAACATTTTTTGCATGTTTACATATTACACATTTGCATCCACAAATTTGCCAAATTCTTCCCTAACAGGATTTTTTCACCAAATCATAGACATAGATGTGGAAATCATCATCAAACTTGGCTTCCACTTGGTGAATCACCATGCCAATCCTTTTGGAGCCGTCTTCTTTGGTATATTCCACATGTTTCCCTATCAGGCCATCTACAACTCCTCCTGGCTCCCTCTCTGCTGGAGGAGGCTCACTGGACTCTGGCATGATACGGAGATCACCTTCTTTATAATCATCTAGAAGCTGGTACATGTACAAGACAGGATCTTTCTCATAGGTTATATAAAACCAGGCTTTCATGATAGGTGCTTGGGCCAAGACCATCCCCCTCCATTCATCCTTAGAACCATGCTCACCCTCAAACATATGTTCCACTGCTTTTCCTATTATGGTGTTTGCAAGGCTGGTGTCACTAACTTGGGATGATGCCACCCTGTCAGAAAGAATTTTAAGAGACAAAACTCTTTCATCTCTGTGAAGTTCCAGTCCATAGACACAGTCAATTCCATCATATTTCACCAGATAAAGGGAAGGATTTATAGGCACCTGATCTAGAACGGTTCCTTTCCACTGCGTGATGGGCTCATTGCCTTCCTTCCATCCGTGAGAAATTCTGCAACCCACAATGTTCTTGAGGTGTTGGGACAAAGGTCTGCCCCTCTGCTTCTTTTGAGAGGTCATTTTCTTCCCTATGTTTGTAGATATGGTGTGGTGACTTACAGCTTCCTTGGATCGTTGTCCTGCTGGTGTCTTTTTGTGAGGTGTCTTCATAGCTGTAGGGGAAGATGCTAGGGAGTAACATTCAATATACTATAAGGTGAGTTTCTCTTCATATTGCAATGTTCCTGTGCAACAAGTGCATCACTGCCAAGTTATTTATGTGTTCAGTAGCAACACATAGCAACACAGTAGCACTCTTTGATTCCTGCCTACAGCACACTCCTTGCAGGCTTGTTTGGCTGCATAGGAGAGCTACAGAAGAGATGGCTATGGTGATATTAGTGGTCGAGAAACCGACCAGAGGGAACGGGTTCCTTTGCATATTGTGTGTCTCTCTTTTGCCATGCTAATGCACCCCCATTTTTAAGTCTGCACCTAATCTCTCCATTTCTGTATATGTCTTCCACATGTTTCTTGTCTACAGCCATTTGCTATTCATCCTTCCTACTTGTTAATCGTGGACACCCCCATTTCGCCAGTGTGCTCCAACCACAAACCTATTCTCTCTTTGCCACCTTTATATACCATCTTGATGTTCTTTGAGCCCTCACCCCGCCCCCCCCATCCCTGATACCTCAAGTCACTTTTTCCAGTCTCCCTGTTGTTTCATCCTGAACCCACCCCAATTTTCTCGCTTGGCACCGCCACCCCCGTCATCCTATTCCACAGTCCAGAGACCACCTCCGCACCACCTCATGTGCCCTAATTAGACACCTCACTGATGCCTCCACTGGGAGCCTGTGATGAAGGAGGATCAGCAGGTTACCAGACGAGTGACTGCAAGAGCTCAGAGGGGAAAATCTTTACAAACATGCATAGGAGGGTAGCATGGCTGACTAAGAGGACAGTGGCAGTGTCCCCAGCGCTTGGGTCCTGTGCCCTCTGCTTCCGTGTATGCAGCGGAGGCCCCTCTGCCACAGCCGGCTTTCACCAGGGGCTGCTGCCACTGCAGTCCCCTCCCTCTTTACACAGCTCAGCTTCCTGCCACGAGAGAGGCCTCCACTTTCCGCGAGGCTTCCCTGCCCCCATCAAGCCACAACACGGCTCTGGGCCCGTGTTGTGTTCCCGGGCTCTTTGCCCCGCCCCTTTCCTCAAATCTAGAGTAGCCCAGCCCACCGCTACCTTTCTGCCCTAGAGCCCCCTCCTCCCATACAAGGCTGTCTGGCTCCCCTTTCATCTCTGGCTTCAAGCGTTCAACGCCACTGCCCCATCTGCTTTCCATCTTCCAGGAATTCGCCCTTTCCTCTGGCCCCATACCCTTATGGAGTTACTCTTTCTGGACAAAATGCTGCCTTTCTTGTCATTTGGGGTTTTGGATGAGAGAAATTCCCTAGTACTCAGCGCTCAGTGTGCCATCTCTACACAATCTGTATATAATCTTTAGCAACTGCTTATTCCCAGACTTCACTTCTTAAGGATTATCTACTACCCACTTCACCCCCGCCAATTTCCCAACAATTGCATGCACAGTATGCATTCTGTGTTAAAATAGACTTGAAGACAAAAGTCAACTCTAAGCTTGCTTCTTATTCCTCAGGGCTCACAGCAAATTGCTAGCAGTCATTGTTTCCTTTGCTTTTTTTCTATGTTCATTTTTGCAAATTCAGTCATTTAAAATTCTTTGTAAAATTATTTTTGGTTGATATTTCAAAAAATACAGAGTATAGCAATAGCAGAAATACTAAATACTCTCCTTTCAGAATTAGCATTATGCATTATAATTCAAGAGATGTGCAATTAGGGACATGCTCAAGCTGACTTACCTCAAACAGTAGAGTTAGAAACATACCAGGGGATTCGAATTCAGTCCCATTGAGGTGGCATGTACCAATGCCATCTCACTAGTCCCAGTGATCAATTTCTGTTCACAATTGATCATAATGATAGGACTAAGAACCAAAGGGATCACATAAACAAGAATAGTGTCTGCAAATACTAGCTGATAGAATAAAAAAGGGAGAGAATGATCCAACATGGGAAGTGAGAGACACAACAGACCCATAGAATGGCAAATGTCCTAACAGCACTCTGGCCTCTGAATCAGCCCTTAAGGCATGCAGATCCAGTTGAAATGCCCATGAGAGTATTTCAGGCATGGAAAGCCAAGACACTCTGGGGAAAAAAAAAAAAAAAACCTAAATGAAAGATCTCCACCAGTGAGATCCCAGTGGAAAGAATGGGTCATCAAAGAAGGAGGTACCTTTCTCTGAGTGGAGGAGAGAACTTCCACTTTGACCATGGCCTTGTCTAAATATGATCAGAGTCAGTGAACTCAGGGGGCTTCCATAGCCTTGTCAGCTCATGACAAGAGCCTAGGGTGATTACTGATGCCATAAACCAGAGTGTCAATTTGTTAAGTCAACAACAGGAGTCACTGTGCACTTACTCCTCATGTAGGATCTTTGTCCTTAGTGTGCTGTACATTGAGATTTAATGCTATAACTAGTACTCAAACAGTATTTTTCACTTTGTGTTTCTGTGTGGGAGCAAACTGTTGAAATCTTTACTTAATGTATGCTAAACTGATCTTCTGTATATAAAGAGAATCAAAAATGAATCTTGATGTGAATGGAAGGGGAGAGGGAGTGGATAAGGGGAGGGTTACGGGTTGGAGGGACGTTATGGGGGGGAAGCCATTGTAATCAATATTCTGTACTTTGGAAATTTATATTCATTAAATAAAAGTTAAAAAAAAAGAAAATAAAAATAAAGTGTTACCAGTAAAATGTCAACCTTTTAAAATCCTCCAGTGCTGATTCTGTTTTCTACCACCCCTATAATGGTAACAATCATCATTTGTTTTTGTTTATCTCAAAAATATTTGTATATATACAACAATTCTTAGTAAACAAAACATTAAATTATATATGTGCTATGCATTTTACATCTCATATTTTTTCAAATGTAAATTATACAGAAGTTCTCCATAATGTGGAAAAAATGAATAATTCTCTTCAGTGACTCACCCTGATGTTTCCGTTAAGTGGCTCTGGGTCTTTACCTCCCAGGTATATGCTCCACAGCTGATAAAAATGTGACAGCTTTTCAGTTTGTAAAACTAGCCAATCCTATACTTTATTTAGCATCTCTTTTTCTTACAAGATAAATTTGTGTTCAAAGATACTCAAGAAAATGTATTTTTATTAGTGTTTACACTCTCAGCAAGTCTGAAATAGAACACTGACATATCTTCCAATTTAAATTATCCGAACTTTAATAATAAAGCTGATTATATTTTATTCTTTTTCTGCAACTCTTTTTTTAAATTCAGTGTTTTGTTTTAAGCATTCATTCCTCTATTGTATGTCTAGGATTCCTTGTTGCTATAAAAGTCCATTGCATGGATACATATGTGACCTTTTTGTCATATATGGGAAAATGTATTCAAACACTTATCCTACTATTGATGATAATTTTAATCAATTATCTTTTTTATTTATTTATTTTTTTGACAGGCAGAGTTAGTGAGAGAGAGACAGAGAGAAAGGTCTTTCTTTTCCATTGGTTCACACCCGAAATGGCTGCTACAGCCAGCGCGCTACACGGATCCAAAACCAGGAGCCAGGTGCTTCCTCCTGTTCTTCCATGTGGGTGCAGGGCCCAAGCACTTGGGCCATCCTCCACTGCCTTCCCGGGCCACAGCAGAGGGCTGGACTGGAAGAGGAGCAACCGGGACAGAATCTGGAGGCCCAGCCGGGACTAGAACCCAGGGTGCTGGGGCTGCAGGCAGAGGATTAGCCAAGTGAGCCGTGGCACCGGCCAACTATTAATGATAATTTTGATTCATTCCAATATTTCATTCTTATAAAAATGCTACAATGAATTTGTGTGCATGTACCAGGGTTTCTATAGAGTAAATCCTAGAGGCTGAGTTGTAACTATAAACACTTCAAATATCTACACATTGCCAAATTGTTGCTAATTATACTAAATTATAATATAATGTAATCAGTAGTGTATGTGTTTCCTGTTTCCCACATGCTAGTTAGCTCTTGATATTTTCTTGGTTTTTATTACATGCCAAACTTATGATTGAACAAGGGCTGTTTATTTTAGTTTAGATTTTCCCTATTATTTGTGAGATTGAACTTATGCTCTGGTGTTATTTGGCCATTGAGTTGTTTTCATGTTTTTCTACTACTTTTGTTTTAAGTGTACTTGTATATTTAAAAGTTGTTATTCATAGTCTTGGTAAGTTTTACATATTCTACATAAAATTATTTTTAAATCACACAACAAATGTTGACATCATCCCTTTATTATAATACTTCAAATAAAGATGTAGAAACATACTCAATCACAATTGTTTTATTTCCCTAATTATTGCCTTCTCTACTTATATACTCATAGAACTTATATATTGTATATAATTGATCATTAATCATAACTAATAAATCATTAATCATATTTATATGCTATTACATTTTAAGACTCATTTTTTGTTTGTAGCAATAAGAAAGAATTATATCAGCCATGAACTGTAAGATACATACCATATTCAAAGACATTAAAATGTGGATGCATATGGGGCTGGTCTTGTGGCATAGTGGGTTGAGCCACCATTTGTGATGCTCACATCCCATCCTGGAGCACCTGGTCAGGTTCTGGCTCTGCTTCTGATCCAGCTTTCTACTATGCCTGGGAAAACAGTGGAAGATGGTCCAAAACTTGGGCTGCTGCCACCCACATGGGAGGCCTGAATGTAGTTTGGTCTCCTGGCTTAGGCCTGCCATTCAGGCCATTTGGGAAGTGAAACCAGCAGATGGAAGATCTGTTTCTCTCTCTGTCTCTCCCTGTCTCTATCACTCTGCCTTTCAAATCAATAAAATAAATTTTAAAAATTAAAGCATGGAAGAATAGAAAAAAAAAGAAGAAAATGAAAGGATATGGGATTGGTTGCTCTTTTTTTCTCTAAAAATAAGAAACATTATCTTGGATTAGATGCAGTATAGTAGTATCGGTGAATTTTTAAAGCATGCATTGTACCATGTTTTACTTATATAGATGGCAGATGAACAAATGAAAAGATGCTCAACACCATTAGGTAATTA